GAATTGGATGTATGTGAATTGGATTATCATGTTTATTTTCAAAATTCACATTGGTATTTTGGTCTCGTCAAATTCGTGGCGGCTTGAACTATTTGTATAAAACAGCAAATAAATCCAGACTAATCATTGGTGTTGTTAAAAGCAGTTGTAACAGAAGATGAGTTTTCATGAATAAGCTCAAAAACTAGTATATTTAATGTCTTTCAACGGACAATGTTCAGATCCGTGTTAACATTTCTTTTCATAAATTTGTGGTTTTCAAAACGAAACAAAACCGGGTCATATACAAAGACAAAACCGGTCCTAATGTAGTAAACAACATTGACAAAACCGGGTCCTTCCATTTGATATGACCCCTTTCTTTCGTTCCATACACATTATTACAAATATTGAGGTGCTGAAAGTGACAAGTTTTGCAATCTCCATGTTAATATCTTTCTTTCCGTACCTTTCTTTCTGTACAATGTGCACAATTTAACGAGAAATTAAACAATTTCGAGGCAAGGTTCACTCAATTCATCATTTTGATGTGCCTTTTTACTAATTTCTCCGTTAATCCAGAACGGTGGTAGAAAATATTACATTTCACAATCAAAAATAGTTATATGTGTATTTACATTCTTCAATATCATAAAAATAACAAATAAATAAACAGAAATTCTACCTTTTCTCTGTCTGTTGATAGTCCGTCACCGTACCGGATATTAGATACTATTGAGTCCAAACATTTTTTGCCGGGTAGTTAATGATAAAACTTTATTTAAAAAGCAAATACAGCGTAAAGGATACATACATATAATGATATTGATAATATACACCAACTTTTACAAAATAGTTTTCAGTCTATAAAAAACTGCGAATCGAAAAAATATTTCTTATGTGGAGTAGCGATATTTTCTAATATCGAATTGTACATAGGCAGACACGAATGGTTTCATGAGAAAAAACATTTTCGGTAATGACAAATATGTTTGGTATTTAGAAATATTAATTGATAGATTATGTTTGGAATTACTTCACGCGTCAAAGAGGAGAGATTTATGAATAACTATAAATCAATAGAGTCTGAAATCGATCATTATCTACATTTCAAAGTCGTTTTAAAGGAAAAGAATCAAGTGCATCTGTAAAACGAGAAAAAAAAATGGCTAAATATCTTTATGAATATGTAAACTGTCAACATATCTTTTAAATACAAACCAATACAAGTAATAGCTTTTCTAAAAAGCTAGCCGTCTCATAACTGATGAAAGTGGAAAATGTTTTCTCTTTGTAGTTTAATTCGTTCAGAATTGTATGTAAATTGTAGTGTATTACAAAAATTATAAAAGGCTTATACAATTTTTTAGATTTGTCAATTTCTTTTGGGGAAAGCATTAACACTGGAAATGGAGGGGTAATGTCTTTTTATCGATTATTTTTTTTCAAACAGATATCGGAGTTGTTCGTTGACTTTTTATTTGGTTGTTTGCTTATTTATTTGTGTTACAAAAGTATGGCCGCTTCCATCTGAAAATTTTTCGTTCATAATAGGCATCGAAAAGTGTAGAGAGTGAAACGTAGAAAAATTTAAACATATAAGAACACAATTAATATATTTCCAACGGTATCTCACATCTTTTCAAAAATGATCCTTAAAATGTAAAACTTCACATATATGTATGGTTATTTTTGTTGTCGATGAAGGTTTTGTCTATTCATTGTAGTTGGACTGCAATGTGGAATGCCCCACGCCTCTTTTTCTATATTTGAATAATGAGTATCCTTAACAATTAAATGTTTCTTTTTTCAGATTATTTGGTTTTATTGGACTTCTTGATTATATTTTTTGATGAAAAATACTCAGAGTCGTGAGACGGGTAATTTGTTATATAAGACCTATTGTAAGCGCCTGAAATTCAAAACATAGTAGTTTCGCCGCCATTCTTTTTCAAATTATAATGGACGTCGTTGCTTATAAAGAAGGTGATAAGTTCTGCAAAGCTATTTTAAGTTCACTATGAGGCCATCAACATAAGAGAATCAACAAAGGAGTAGGTCCAGTAAGACCCCTTTTTGGCCCGAAAATATAGCAGTTTTACAAAATTGTTAAAATGTAAACTTTTAGTTATTTATTGGAAAGAAGAATGCGTCTGCTACGTAAATATGGGCTGTTTTTGAAAATACAATGCCCAAAGCATCGGGATATCGGGAACTAGCATCATTAATTCGTGCAAAGTTACTGAAATCTTCACAATTTTAACATTTTAGTTAAATTTTAGACGGTTTTCGTCTTAAATGAAAGTGGCCGCATTTGTGTTCATTCTTAATATTGAAATGTAAGTTGTATTTGATGATAATACATAACATATATAAAGGTTGAGGATGAACACGGATGCGGCCACTTTCATTTTTGACAAAAACCATCTGAAAAGTGACATTTTTTGGCATATTTGATAGATTTTTCATATTTAAGCTAGAATCGGAGCGTTTTTAATGACTTAATCAGTTAAAATCTTTCACATGAACTAATTGAATCACCTGAATTAGACACTTGAGTGTTTAAAAAGTGTCCAAAATCTTTCGTCAGATGAACCTGAAATTTGAGGCCAAAATCGGCCCTTACCGGACCTACTCCTTTGACCAAAAACTTTATTAAGCATACAGCCTGATACTGTATCTTTTGTTATTGTTTTACTTGTACATATCTTCATATTTATTTACTATACCATCTAATGTTGGATGACGAATAAGGCCCTTATCATACTTACCCTTAAAAGCTTGACATACTGGATTGACATAATCTTTTGTGGGAGACCGTTCATATGTTGACATATAAATGTCTTTTTGTTTTATGATCATAGTATATGTATGTTTATACTTGTTTTACAATTCTTGTAGAAAACATACAATTAAGAATAATCTTTTAAAATGCCAACAGTATTTTCGTCTTTTGAATTTATAATTTTCTTTAATTTCTCTTTCTCTCATATAGCACGTCTAGTATAAATAGTCACTAAATCTCAAAACAAACATTAGAAGTTGGTTCCTGACCCTGCTCATAGTTTCAAGTAATATCTGAATTATTTTTTGCTAATAAGATTATTTTTTGTAACAAAAAAATTGTTCCGGCGTGACATTTGTTCTGCCGGAACTTATTTCATAGGAAATATGTTCCACCGGAATTTATATCACAGAAAATTTATACCCGGAATATATATATTATAAGGAAATATGTTCCAGCACTGTAAAATTTGTTCCGGAACTAATTTTTTTACTAAATGTTAAATAAGTTCCGGGTGTTATAGATAAACATGATGCATTATCTTTATATCAAGCAAAACATTCTATAGTTGTACCTGACAAATTTAATACTCAACATTGAAGTCTTTAAACAACACGAAAACATTCAAAATAAGGTAAATCTTTTAGAAATTCAAATTAAAACAGCATATATAGTGTACGTAGATAATATGATTAAAAAACAAATGTATAACTATGATTAACAACTGTGATAAATATTTAAAACACACTATTTTATTTTTTGTGTCGCCTTGACGGAGTCAAAAAGCGAGACATAGGTATGCTGTTTCCGGCGTCGGCGGCGGCGTCGTCAACAATGTATTAGTTTTTGATTAGGTCTAGTTTATGGTGAACTACAAGTGGAAGGTCAATCATATTTGGTATGCAGTTGTGTTAGCATTGGCACATTTCATTTCCATGGAGATTATTTGGCCCTGCCCCCTCAGTCATGGTCTATTGACTTTGACACTTTTGCTTATTTTACATGTATTAGTTTGTGATTAGGTCAGTTTATGGGGAACCACTAGTGGTCGGTCAATGATATTTGGTATGCAGTTGTAAAAGCATTGGCATATCTCATTTCCATGGAGATTATGTGGCTCCGTCCCCTTAGTCATGGTCTATTGACTTTTAGAATTTTGCTAAGTTAACATGTATTACAGTAGTTGTCGTCTGTTTATGTAGTTCATACGTGTTTCTCGTTTCTCGTTTTTATATAGATTAGACCGTTGGTTTTTCCGTTTGAATGGTTTTACACTAGTAATTTTTTGGGGCCCTTTATAGCTTGCTGTTCGGTGTGAGTCAATGCTCCGTGTTGAAGGCCGTACCTTGACCTATAATGGTTTACTTTTATAAATTGTAACTTGGATGGAGAGTTGTCTCATTGGCACTCATACCACATCTTCCTATATCTATTAGTTTGTGATTAGGTCAGTTCAAGGGGAAATATTTAGGGTAGGCAAATGTTAATTGGTATTCAGTTGTATAAGCGTTAGCACATCTCATTACCATGGAGAATATTTGGCCCCGCCCCCTCAGTCATGGTCTATCGACTTAGAAACTTTTGCTTAGTTTACATGTATAACTTTGTGATTAGATCAGTTTAAGATGAACTGCTAATGTTAAGTCAACGATATTTGGTATGCAAATTTATTTGCATTTGCAAGTATCGTTTCCATGGAGATTATATAGCCCACCCCCTCTTCATGGTTCATTGACTTTGAAACTTTTACATAGTTTACAAGTTAATGTTTTTGTTAGGTTTGTTTAAAGGGAACGACTTATAATAAGTCAATGGTATTTGGTACGCAGTTGTATTAGCTTTGGTACATCTCATTTACATGGAGATTGTTTAGCCAGTCATGGTTCATTGACTTTGAACATTTGCATAACTTATGAAACATGTTAAAGTATTGCTATTTTAATTTCAACATTTGCATAATCAAAATTACAAAAGGGCGAGACATTTCTGTGATAACAGTTTATCTACAAATTCTGATATGAAGTAACATATGTTGAATTGCAATATTCAAAAATAAATGATTGATCTATAAAAAAAATCTGACGGATTTTTCTTATTGTTCGCTTATCTGCCTCATTAAATTATTGTCATTTGGGTATTTTTTTTATGGATAATGTAATTAAACATTTTGCTATACTCATCAGAATCCATATTGGATGTTTACACCTTTTATTTATTACATTATCAATACAATACATGTTTTTATAATGTACTTGAATTATAACTTTAAACTCACTGATAACAATGCTCAGTATAAAAGATAACTTGTATAACCAGTGGAACATATTTCACAGACATGGAACTTATTTCACCAGGTAAGGAACAAATCTCACAAACCCGGAACTTATTTCACTAGGTAAGGAACAAATTTCACAAACCCAGAACTTATTTCACCAGGTAAATTGTGGAACTTATTTTATAGAAATGGAACAAATCATATAGAAATTATCTGTGAAAAAAGTTCTCCCAGAATATATTTCCTGTGATATTTGTTCCACTGGAACTTTTTTCACAGGAACAAATTTTGGCTCACATATTCACAACTATTCTTTATATTATAGTTAGACTTGGGAGGATAAAAAACTTTAAAATGTTGTAATTACATGTCCATTGAAGAAGCGTAGATTGAACTTTAGAAGTAAATTGTCACGTTTTGTTTGTTGCTTAATTGAGTTGCTGTCTAAATTAATTATCATCAGTATGTATACTTCACATCTCCTTTAAAATCATTCATAGAAATTAAACATTGCTTTGAATATGTTAGCATACATGTATAATTGCTTTTATCGTCTGAGAGTAGTTTTTTGTTCTTCTTATATTCCCTTTCAGATATATTTTAGTCTTCTGTTCTTCAAGGCACTTATTATGTAATGAGTGGAAGGGATGAGTCGCTGGGACAGGTCACTATTTGAAGCTTCATGATATTGCATGAGGTCGAGAAATTTAGGTGAAATATAAGACAAGGTTGATGATTGAATCTGAAACTAATCAGATGTCGATATTTTTTTACAGATGCAATTAAAGTTACCAGAGATTGTGATATATATATATGTCTCTAAAATCTCTTTCGTAAATGTTTAAGATATTGGTCAAATCTATTCACTAGTATCTCCCCATGAAATAGCGTAACAATGATAGCTATGTCCCGGTATATATACTTATTGTAAAAAATATATGATAGCTAGGGTAACTACATGTATGTTCTTTTATCATTCAATATATATAAATGGTGGGGTATTGGATGTCTCAGCTGCTCATCCCTTCCATATAGAAAGGTCGAAGTGCCGCCGCCTCCGCCCCTTGAGATAAAAATTCTCGTGTAAATTAATATTAATCGAACAGAAATTATTTGCTATCTCCGTTTTAAATTGTTTGTGTTGCCTTTAGATTATCTTACTGAGTATAAATAAATATAACCTAAGAAAAAAGCATTTTCCTAAAAGTTTTCTTATGTTTTCACGTATAAAATGTACGTAACTTGAAATAATCACGTGTGTGTTTACAAATCTTCAGAAGATTCGGCTTTTTATAGATAAGTGTTACCTGTGTACCGATATGCATGATTGGTTAACCAGGAAAATCTATTTACTAAAATAAAGAGTTCAGATCCGACACTCTACGGGATTAAAAGACATTTACTAGGTTTGAATTGTCCTAACCAATCAACGAAATTAATTATGACAGCGTCAGTAATATCTTCCAATCAGGTAGTAAGAAAGCCTTCAGCCCGCAGACTGTCCATCGTTCAACTCTTAATACCGTCTCTAAGTCCTGAAATATGTCCAGTAGTAAAATAAAAGCAATATTTTATCATGTTTATGACCGTTGAAAAATCGTAGTGCAATGTTTTGCTAATGTAAATAAATGATTAAATACTATTTATTTTATTGTAGATTCTATAGTTTCTTAAATTTGTAATTGCATGATTTTTCTATTGTATCTACAACTTTATTTTGTATGAGGTATCAGTTTTGGGCTCACTACTGAACGTCAGAATTAAACTTTAAAGCATTTCTCGAAATTCCTAATTGCTCTTCGAACATCATTCTATTAGATAAAAATAATTGTTTTGAGCTTTTTGCTGGGATATAGAATTGTATCTTCCATGTGCGGGACAATTGTAACTGTACATCGGTCTTGTTTGGAATAATACTTTTGCCATATGTGAATTCAAATTTGGTTTTATTGTTAATCGTATTAGGCTTTATCTTACCTCCTATACATTTCTAGGAATATCATTGGTTAAAAGCTACCGCGTGGAGACCGTGTATATTTCCTATGGGGTTAGTAGATGGGGCTTATTTAACAGTAACTATAAGGTTAGTAGTGGTGTTACATCCCTTTATAAAAACAATACGGCGTTGATGAAAAATCTTAAACGTTTCTACAAACAAAGAAATTGATGATGAACAAATGAAATAAATGCAGAAAACAAATTAAAAGCTAACAATTTCTTATTAATGGCATTTGTTTTTGTATAGACCAATAGAAGTAGGTTCTTTATATTGAAGACTTGATCACTTTGATAGGTCACTAGTCTAAATGACATATGTTAAAATAGTCGGTAAGATAAATTCGTTACACAGTGTGCTAGTGACCTAATACGATATATATGGGGTCAATAAATTCCATATGGGTTCGAGCTTCGCTCTCACCCATATGAAATTTACTAACCCATATATATATCGTATTAGGTCACTACCACACTATGCAACTAATAGTATTGTCTCTCTGGATATTTCTTTCTCTTTAGATACAACAAATCTTTGTTTGTGTGGCTATTTACAGCATAATCTATGATAAAATCGAATAGTTCGCCAAAGCACCAACATTTAAAATACTAGTAGAACAACTTAAAGAAACGATCTAATCGTGTATTATGGACTTGGAAGGTGGTAAATATTGTGTAGTATTGATAGGGAAATCCAAAATTGATCGATTCTCAGTCAAACTAAATAAAGATCCGTCTAAATTTCATTAATTAATACATTTAATAACACTCAACGTTACCTTGGTGATGTTTTTTTTCCTTAAATGATCAAAAATTATCTTTTTATATTTCAAAAATTTACCCAAGCGAATCACCTTAAGATAAATATAATAGTAACCTTTTTCTAAATTTGGATATTTAATTTTCACACGTGAAAATCTATCTAAACACTAATTAACGTCAAAAGAGATGACTTTTTGTTCTCTATTGTTAATTTTCCTTTTTTGGACCGTGATGATCCTTGGCTCTTCTTACGGTGTATATATTTCCCAACTCGTTCGCTATGTCCTTGTCTTTAGTAACGTTTTATTTTTGAAAAACGAAATCTATGTATCACTAGTAAGTTATTAAAAGCATATGAAACGAGTTTCTGGTTACTATATGTTTCAGAAATTATTGAACCAATGCATGCATATAATCTAATAGATATAAGAAGATGTGGTATGAGTGCCAATGAGACAACTCTCCATCCAAGTCAAAATTTAAAAAAGTTAACTATTGTAGGTCAAAGTACGGTCTTCAACACGGAGTCTTGGCTCACACCGAACAATAAGCTATAAAGGGCCTCAAAAATTACTAGTGTAAAACCATTCAAACGGGAAAAACCAACGGTCTAATCTATATAAAAAACGAGAAACGAGAAACATTTATGAACCACATCAACAAACGACAACGACTAAACATCAGATTCCTGACTTAGGACAGGTGCAAACAAATGCAGCGGGTTTAAACGTTTAAATGGTACCAAACCTTCACCCTTTTTCTGAAACAGTAGTGTACCATCACAACATAGAAAAACACATTATTAAAATATCAACTGAAATAACTAGCTTAAAGTCATCTGTGCAAGTTGTACTTTAAACATTTTTACGAATCCATACGGTAACCGTATAATCGACAAAAAATATTCATTCTTTGATTATTGAAAATTTTGGCTGTTGATTATAACTTTTGGGTTTTGGTGACGATGTTTACCAATCGTTACCTATAGATAAACAATAAACACAGAATCATTGACAACGTGAAAAATAAGTGAGATGATCAACCGATGAATATTTGTTTTTTTTTAATTATATTTTCCATGCGTTCCCATTTGTTCATTGAACTTTGTCATAACAGTTCAATTGTTTGGTGTATTAACTGTTTTCTTTCAGAATCGATTAATGCTTCTTCTTTCAATGTTTGTTTACTTTTTCTTTCATCATGCATTTTCCCTCACACTTGCGCTGTGTGGTTGACGGAGCGTCCTGGCTAATGTCACTTCACATGGAAAAGATGTCGGTCTATTAGTGTACTGGAAGACCATAATTTAATAGCAGTACATTTTTGAAGACTAGTTAAAAAAAAAAAGAATTTTCTTTTAGAAGACATTTTCTATGTAAAAAATGTACACGTGTTTCATAGTCAAACTTAGCCATTGAATAAAATTGAGAATGGAAATGGGGAATGTGTCAAAGAGACAACAACCCGACCATAGAACACACAACAGCAGAAGGTCACCAACAGGTCTTCAATGCAGCGAGAAATTCCCGCACCCGGAGGCGTCCTTCAGCTGGCCCCTAAACAAATATATATACGAGTTCAGTGATAATGAACGCCATACTAAACTCCAAATTGTACACAAGAAACTAAAATTAAAAATAATACAAAACTAACAAAGGCCAGAGGCTCCTGATTTGGGACAGGCGCAAAAATGCGGCGGGGTTAAACATGTTTATGAGATCTCAACCCTCCCCCTATACCTCTAGCCAATGTAGAAAAGTAAACACATAACAATACGCACATTAAAATTCAGTTCAAGAGAAGTCCGAGTCTGATGTTAGAAGATATAAAACATATTCACCATTTTAAATTGGAAGTATCAAATGACTTTAAGTTTTTTTGTCATCATAAACTACTTAAACATTTTACTACATTCTTGCATAGATACAAATATTTGGTTTCAGGTGTGGGTCTAACTGTAAAATTGCTATAAAACGGGATACCACCTCCAAATGGTCACTGTTATGTTGTTTATAAAGTACGTAAATTTAAACACGGTCCTTGTAAATTTATTCATCCTTTGTATATCATTTCAACACCGTAGAAACATGTTTAAACATATATTTTTTTATATCGATAATAACAAGGATTTTGTTTCTGATAAATTAAACATAACGAAATAACAATTTCTTTACATTGAAAAGTTATGGTGCTACAAATGTATGCTTGTGTTATGGCATTCACAATGTCACGCTTTTCACAGACTGTTTATGACGTCTTTTCACTAAATCCATTTCATGTGTACATATTGAAATTTTAGTTAGGGAGAACATGGTATATTTA